AGGAGGTAGTGAGACAAATAAAGGCACAAGTGATGGGTCTGGAGCAGCTGGAAATGATCACAGCGGAATCAGAACTGGAGAATAAACACTGACCAAAGATGGTACCGAGCCTGGTGACCTGGACTCTGACCAGGATGGGATTTGTCCGATCTGCTGCGAGAGGTCCTGTGTGCAATGTTGCCACTCTTCTTCATATTCTGACCAGTAAGGTTCCTCCAAGTGTTTTCTGCCATCTTCAAATTCAGGCAAGTCTTCAGTTTGGATTTTTGCCAATTGTCTCCTGGAGGAGAGATTTGATCTCAGTCTGTATTTCTTATGAAATCTTTCCCTGCCAATGTCCCCTGCTAATTCATTTGTTCTTTGAGAGGGATCATCAAACAGGGACAAACATAGCGGACACTGGAGAAACTCACATGCCTGGCAGCATCTGCGAAGAGAGAAACAGAGTTTACCTTATGAGTCTGGAATGACTCTTCTACTGGTTTTTACTGTGTTCTGCTGGCTTTAGGGTTATAGGTGGGATTTAATCTAAATGATGGGGAATAGCAGTGTCATTCAGAGCAGGAGAGCTGGTGAAAGTTCTGTGTTGCCAACCGAGCAATAGGCCCGTTATATTCAGTGTCTATATAAGGCACTTAACTGGCCACTATCTGGCCTTCTCCAGAATTAAATGGGGATGGGATTTCCACCCTATACAACTCTCCAGTGAGTTGTCAGTTAAGAATAATAATAGCTGAGGTAAATCCACATTTCAGGTAGTCTTTCTGTCTGAAGTTGTTAAAATTACCTCCTAAGTTTCCTATTCAATATTTCTACCAATTCCAAATGATCTTCTGCAACTTTATCTTGCTCATTCTTATGTGACTTTATTCTTCAGTTGCTTTTATACTTCCATTTTCTGTACAATATTATTTTATATATTTTGTTGCTTTCACAATCCTATTTTGTCTCAATATTTTCTGTTTTTAACCTCTTTCCTGAGTTCTTTATATTCCCCTCGGTCTCACTGTTCCTTTCTTATTTATGCATGTTGTAACATCTTTTTATTTCAAATCAGTTTTATCTTCAACCTTCTGTTTATCTATAGTTTCCCGTGCCAGGCTTGTTTTGTTCTCAATTTTAGTGAAAGATATTCTTGCTGAACTCCATTGATCTTTCTTTTAAATGATGCTCACCATTTTTTATTTGTCATGGGATGTGGGCATTGTTGCCAGCATTTATTGCCCATCTCCAACTGCCCCTTGAGAAGGTAGTGGTGAGCTGCCTTCTTGAATCGCTGGAGTCCGTGTGGCGTAGGTTGACCCAAGATGCTGTTAAGGAGGGTAGTCTAGGAAATGCCGATATATTTCCAAGTCAGGATGGTGAGAGGCTAAGAGGGGAACTTAACATGGGGTGGTGTTGCCATGTATCTGCTGCCCTTATCCTTCCAGTAGTAGGGACATGAGTTTGGAAGGTGCTTTCAAAGGAACTTTGGTGAGTTTTTGAACTATCCTTGTAGATAGTGAACACTGCTGCTACTGAGTGTCGGCGGTGGAGGTAATGGATGTTAAAGGTAACAGATGGGGGCTGAATCAAGCGGATTGCCTTGTCCTGGATGCTGTCGAACTTCTTGGCCACTATTTTAGCTTCACTCCTCCAGGGATTCCACCACAATCCTGACTTGTGCCTTGGAGACAGGGAATTAGGACAAGAGTTACTCACTGCAGTATTTCTAGCCTCTGACTTGCTCTTGTAGCCACTAAATTTATATGGCTAGTCTAGTTCAGATTCAGTCTGATCATGGCTGATTATAGAATCCCTACAGAGTGGAAACAGGCCCTTTGGCCCAACAAGTCCACACCAACCCTGAGAGCATCCCACCCAGACCCATCCCCCTATAACACACCTAAGCTACACATCCCTGAACACTACGGGCAATTTAGCATGACCAATCCACCTAGCCTACACAGCTTTGGACTTTGGTTTCAACTCCACTTTCCTGCTTGCTCCCCATATCCGTTGATTCGCCAAGGGGAAAAAATCTGTCTTTCACAACCTTTAAAAGTATTCCACGATAATGTTTTCGTAATCCTCTAGGAGAGAATTCCGAAGATGCATAACACTTTGAGTAGAGAAATCTCTTCACATTTCAATCCTGGATAATGAACAGAGGCTGTATCTGATGTTCTAGGGAGGTGATGGCCTGGTGGTGTCATTGTTGTACTGTTAACCCAGAGACCCAAGTCATTGTTCTGGGGTTCTGAGTTTGAATGCTAGCAGAATGTGGAATTTGAATTAAATAATAATTCGAAACTTGAATAAACAGTCCAATAAAAACAACTAGCTTTGGTTTATTTCTGGTTTAATGAAACATCAAGTTTCCCATCTTATTGTTTCATTTAGCAACATAATCATGTTAGATACAAGACCCACTCCATAACTTGATTTGAAATGTACAAGCTCTTGTTGTAGCTTCTTACAGTTAATATGGATTTCACCTGCTAAGACTTACTCAGTTTCATCCAACCTTTTGTTGATGTCCGTTAAATTATCCTGGATTTTTTGAGCTGCATCCCTCAGAGATTCTCCAGCTTCCGACTTAGCTCCCTTTGCAAGTTCAAAAGCAGCATAGATTAAGGCCCGAAACGTCAGCCTCTCTGCTCCTATGATGCTGCTTGGCCTGCTGTGTTCATCCAGCCCTGCACCTTGTTGTCTCGGATTCTCCAGCATCTGCAGTTCCTACTATCATAGATTAAGGTTGTTACGTTAATAGCTATGCCCAATCCTCCAACCAGAGCCTGAAAAATCAGAAAAGAAAGAAATGTCACAATTTCAGGGCATTCAAAAGTGGTTTACAGCCAATATAATACTGTGAAGGGTAGTTGCTTTGGTAAAATGGGAAGTGCAGCAAGTAATTTATGCACAATAAGCTCTCACTCAAACAGCAATACAATACTGACTGGACAATCTGATTTTTTTTAATGATAGTGAATAAAAGATAAAATAAATTGTTATATTTCTCACTTTCATGAGGGCTTGGGGATGGTCATAGTTCATGTACGCATTCATCCGGAGGCAGCTGGCTATTAAATGATTTAGATTTGGGTTTTGGAGAGACTGGTGCTTGGAACCTGCAATGTGGAGATTATTCAGAGGAAACAGAGGCTGGTGCTCAAAGCAATTCCCTTGGACATATAGGGACCTGTTTAAAGAGCTGGCACATCATGGCCTGGCACATCACCTACTCTACAATTATCATCATGATAGGGAATCAACCTGCTCACCAATACTCAGTTTGGGTTCTGTCAGGGCCAATCGATTCATGACCTCCTGGTTCAAACATGAACAAAAGAGCTGAATTCCCGAGGTGAGAGTGACATTCCTTGATTCCGAGTGTGGCATTAAGGAGCCCTAGCAAAACTGGTAATGGGGTCGATCTCTCTGCTAGTTCTAGCCATATCTAGCACAAAGGAAAATGGTTGTGGTTATTGGAGGTCATCTCAGCTCCAGGACATCTCTGCAGGAATCCTTCAGGGTAGATATTTTCTTATCAACCTGTTCAGAGATGTTATTACACACAGGTGGGACTTGAAGACAGGCCTCCTGGCTCAGAGGTAGGGGCACTACTACTGCACCACAAGTTCCTCACGGTAGTGTCCAAGGCCCAACCATCTTCAGCTGCTTCATCAATGACCTTCCCTCCACCATAAGGTCAGAACTGGGAATGTTCGCCGATGATTGCACAATGTTCAGCACCATTCATGACTCCTCAGATACTGGAGCAGTCCATACTCAAATGCAGCAAGATCTGGAGAATATCCAGGCTTGGGCTGTCAAGTGGCAATTAACATTTGCACTACACAAATGCCAGGCTATGACCATCTCCAACAGGTATCACGATTGCTGAACTTCCCACTATCAACATCTTGGGCATTACCATTAAAAAGCAGTTATAAGGGAGAACATATGGAGCATTAATATTGGTTCAGAGCAGTTCAGTAGGTCGACATGTTCTTATGCTGTCGTCTACATGCATGTCTGTGTGAAATCTGTGAAAAATAGTTTGGGTGAAAATTCAAGAATACACCAGAACTTGAGATCCATGACCCATCTGAGATTTGATCTAATTGTTCTAAAGGCAGAGGCACCAACTTTGGAGATCGAATCAGAATTACTTTCATTGCTAGTCACTCCTGGGAGGTGGGTGGTTGAAAACATACAAGGGCCATGTGCCATTGGTAGAGGTTCACAAAAGTGGTAATGGGAGGGAATGCTCTGTCCCTTTCAGTTTTCAGCATCCTGCAACAATCTCTTTAAGGCTATTTGTCTAGACCAAGCTAGAACTGATAAAAGGAGCTTGTTCTGATTTTGCATGTGAACCTCACTTTCTTGATCTGAAACTGATCGAGTGTTGTGTTCAGGCACTGAGCAGGCATGTCTACAAACAACAATGGACTGATAAGGTCAGTCAACCAGCATCAGGAACCAAGGGCAAACTTAGACTGGAATATGTTGAGGGTTGCCTGTCGATAATTGCGTGGTTTGTAATAATTACGGTTAATTTCGACAGGAAATCTGTACTCCATGCAGAATGCGTGGACTGAGCTTAATTTTTATTAATTCATTTACCATTCCGATTGCTTGTTTCCCAACAAACATCAAGTTTGTCATCAATGTAGGGAAGAGCTGCATTATGGCATTCATTTCCAGTGAGCAAGGTATATTCTTCAGGCCTTTCTGTTTCTGCTTGAGTAGGAAGTCTCCAGGCTTGAACTTCATGTTCATATTCATGGCAGCACCTGTCAGGACAAAGCTGGAGATAATGTCCTCCAAGGTGTACCTTGACAACTTGGTGAAGGACATGAACGCGATCAAAATATGTTTGAAATCTCTTCCAGTTTGCTCATCAGCTGGCGTACTTCCTCAGCACCGTGTGCATCGGATTTGATGACCTGCTTTGCCTCGGTCATCTGGTTACTCGATTGGTAATTGTTGACTAGTTGTGCTACACCAGCTGTAGCTCAGCCACTAACTGCTGCCATTGTTCCAGCAGCAGCTGCCACCACGAGCGATGTGGTAAGACCCCGTGTCATTACAGTGCCCACGACAGATCCAACTACAGACAGGCCGCCTACAGTAGCCACTGAGGAGCCGACCACACGAGCTGTGGAGGATTTGCATTTAATTTCATCCAGTTTGTCTGCAATCAGCAGCAATGTCGCTGCTGCCTTCTTACGCTTTGGAATCCATTCTCCCAATTTCCTGTAAACCTCTTCTCCAACTTCAGCACCTTCCTTCCAATTTGGAGACTGGAATGGATTCCTAATCTGAAAATAAAAATAATGAACAGAAACATTTTCTGGGAGGATGTAGTTGAGTTTACAAATTCGTAACGACTTGCATTGTGTAATGCCTTTGATATGATAAAGTATCCCTAGGCACTTCACTGGAATGTTGTCAAGTAATATTTGTCAATAAGCCACATAAGGAGATAGTATGGAATGTGACCAGATGCTCTCTTGGGTGACACAATGGCTCAGCGGTTAGCACTACTGCCTCACAGTGCTGGAATACCAGGTTCAACTCCAGCCTCAGGTGACTTTCTGTGTGGAGTTTGTATTCAGGAGAACAAGACCAACTTCTACCCACGTCTTTGTGGTTTCCTCTGGATGATCTGGTCTCCTCCCACTGTCCAAAGATGCGCAGGTTGGGTGGATTGGCCACAGTGAAATTGTCCAGGGATGTGCAGGCCAGCGGGGTTAGCCATGGGAAATGTAGGGTTACTGAGATAGGGTTGGGAGGTGGGCGGGATGCTCTTCAGCGGGTTGGTGTGGACTCTTAAAGAGCTCAGTGCTCGAAACGTCTGTTTCTCTTTTAAGAGGCTGTGACTAAAATCTGCATCTGCTGTAGCTACAACTGTGACCTCAAGTAAGAAAAGTACAGCATTGTGTGTGAGCATTAGGGTGACTGTGGCTCTTATGTGGATAGGAGTTTCCAAGGAGTATATGGATAAATATTGAAGAAGAGCACGATGGGGTGGGGGTGGGCTCCCATCTTGTCTGCTCTCACTCTCCATTGACAGCAGTGGATTCAATCTACTGGGTTTCCTAACCAGCAAGATAGCTTCAAATCACCCCCTTTTGTATTGGAACAATGCCGTATATGCCTTGGAGCCTACTGCAATTATACACTACAAATCTCAAGTTATGGAAATTCATTGAAGTGACCTTACCTCACCCAACTGCATTCTTTCAAAATCACATTCCCTTTCATTTGCTGCATTGTCTGGAATGTAAACAAATTGAAAAAAAAATGTGAAGGAATTTAATTCTTTCTCCAGCATACCTATCCATCTGGAAGAATGGGTGTTAGACTGCAAAACTTTCCCTTTGAAAACTGCATCCTGCAAGAAACAGGGATGCCAGGGAAATGTAGAATGGTTAACGTGGTGAAGGAGACCAATGAGCTGGTACTGCACTCAGCCTGAAGCAGGAGCTCTGCACTGGTTACCACACCAGTCCTCTCCCCATAGCCCTAACTGTTTGTCCCTTCAAGTGCTTATTGCAGTCTCTGTTGAAAGCTGCAATTGAATTTGCCTCCATCAGGCTCTAGGGTGGTGTATTCCAGATTCCTAACTGCTCATTGTTTAGAAAGCTTACCCCTCATGTCTCTTTCAATTCTTTTGCCAATTACTTTAAATCTGTATGATATTTTCCATAGACCCTTACATTAATGGGAACAGTTTTTCTCTCTCTATTTAGACGCTCAACCTGATTTTATTTTGAATTATTTAGCGTAATGTCTCCATCATTTCTCCTCTTTCAGGAGAACAAGAGCAACTTCTCTGATATGGATACAAACAAAGTACAAGAGTCGGCCACTCGGCCCTTCAAGCCCTGCTCCTCCATTCATGGCTGATCTGATTTTAATCTCAATTCTACATTCCTGCAGCTCCCCGATAATCTATCACCCCCTCGGTAATCAAGAATCTACCTAGCTCGGCCTTAAAAAATATTTAAAGATTTTGCATCCATTCCTTTTGAGGAAGAGAATTCCAAAGACTCACAACCTCTGAAAGAAAATATATTCCTTCGCTCTCTCCTCAATTGGTGCCCCTTATTTTTTTAATAATGACCCCTCATTCTAGGTTCTCCCACAAGAGGAAACATCCTTTTCACATCCACCTGGTTAAGACCTCTCAGGATCTTATATGTTGCAATTAAGTGATCCCTGACTCATCTAAACCCCTTAGATACAGGCCTGGCCTTTCCTCATAAAGCAATCTGCTTGTTCCAGGTATTAGTGCAATAAATTTTCTCTTATCTGCTTCTAATGCATTGACATCTTTAGTGACCAGTACTGTGCACAGTACTAAAAACAACAAATGCTGGAGATTACAGCGGGTCAGGCAGCATCCATGGAGAGACAGCAAGCTAACATTTCGGATCTAGATAAGTCTTCATCAGAGCCTGTGCATAGTACTCCAGATGTGGTCTCTCCAATGCTCTGTGTAACTGAAACATAATCTCCCTAATGTTGTGTTCAAATCCCCTCACAAACAACACAGCTTCTGCCAGATTTCCTGAATACTTGCTGGGTAGTGATCTATACAATATTGCAATGTATTATTTGTAGAAACATTTTCGTAAATCTTCACTGCATCCTTTATAATACCTTTGCATCATTCCTAAAGTGTAGTGCCCAGAAGTGGATATAATGCTCCAGTTGAGGCTGAATTAATCAGAGTTAATAAAGCTTCATTATTACTTTCTGCAGTGCTCTGCCTCCATTTAAAAAGTCCAGTGTTTCAAGGTGCGGGTGACCATGGAAGGGGGTAACCATCTTAGCCTTGGTTTGTTCCAATCCCCTCAGTGCTGGTTCTGTTTGGATTCCTTGTCTGCTCTATGCTACCTGTAATCTGGACACAAGCATTGCAATGTTATTCCAACTTTTCATTACACCATGGCCCAAAATTTCTGATGGCTAGATAATTGGTTCTGCAACCTGCAGAATTCCCGATATAGCAGACTCCAGGGGAATTGCTCGGGAATTAAAGACTGGGTCCTGCTTCTGAGATGGTCAGTGTCAGGATGCTGGGTGTTCAGGGCACACAGGCGTGGTTGATTGGGCAATCGCAGGAGCTGGCATAAAATCTAGTGCCAGTCAATCTCACTTTCAATCTCTTGTTCCCACCTCAAATAAAAGCATATTTTATGGTGGTGTTTTAAGGGAAACCCATCACCAACTAAGGTCCTAACAAGCTCCAGATTCATATAAGCTTTGATCCAAAATGAAGAAATGAAATATAAAAGCTCATCTTCTGCCATCTTCAGAAATCTTGTAAATATTCCAATTATTTTATATTTCAGGATAATACTGGCCTGTTGTTATTTTAACTGATGTTCCAAACATGTTCTAAAACAGATAAACCCCAAACCTATTGAAATCCACCAGTAAGCCCTTGACAAGAGGCTCAGTCCCTTTATCAGATGTATTATCAACTCTTGATGGGCAGATGATACACAGTTCTTAAGTGCTTCAATCAAGTTTCACTTTTCCCTCCTAAAGGTTTCAAGAAATTCTGCACAAGATAACATGATTCCTTATAATGCTACTTTTTTGGCCTAGTAACGAGCAGGGTAGACCAAGGAGAGGCAATGGATGTTATCTACCTGGACTTCAAGAAGGCCTTTGACAAGGTGACGCACAGGAGGCTGCTGAATAAGATAAGGGCCCATGGTGTTAGAGGCAAGGTGCTAGCATGGATAGAAGATTGGCTGTCTGGCAGAAAGCAGAGAGTGGGGATAAAGGGGTCTTTCTCAGGATGGCAGCTGGTAACGAGTGGTGTTCTGCAAGGGTCAGTGCTGGGACCACAACTTTTCACTTTATACATTAATGTTCTAGATGAAGGAACTGTGGCCATTCTGGATATGTTTGCAGATGATACAAAGATGGATGGAGGGACAGGTAGTATTGAGGAGGTGGCGAGGCTGCAGAAGGATTTGGACAGGTTAGGAGAGTGGGCAAAGAAGTGGCAGATGGAGTACAACATGGGAAAGTGTCATGCACTTTGGTAAGAAGAATAAAAGCATGGACTATTTTCTAAATGGGGAGAAAATTCAGAAGTCTGAAGTGCTAAGAGACTTTCTATTTCTAGCCCAGGATTCTCTCAAGGTAAACTTGCAGCTTGAGACAGTAGTCAGGAGGCAAATGCAATGTTGGCATTTATTTTGAGAGGACTTGAATATAAAAGCAGGGATGTACTACTGAGGCTTTATAAGGCTCTGGTCAGGCCACATTTGGAGTATTGTGTGCAGTTTTGGGCAAAATCTGCAAAGAGCCTGGCCTGCTTTCTTATCCATTTACACATTGATGCGATGTTAAACCACTGTTCTCTCCTCTCTTCCTTCAAGTCCTGGGTCTGCGGAGGGTTTTCCATGTCTGAAGAACTGAGTTCCTTCAGGTACACTGAAAGAGCAGAGAGATATGGGTCTTCCCTTTGGAGTAATGTGAATACGAAGCAGACAACAGATCGATGGTTTGGGTTCAGTACTTCTTTATTCAATTCATTCTTTGATGAAACAATTTTGATGCCTTTCAATATATCAAGGTAAGAGCTCACCACTGCTATTTCCATTTCTATGCACTCTAACCATGCAATCAATGATAGGCTTCTAAATGGTGACTGTTCCTTCTCCAGAATATTTGCCAGTGACTCTTCCTCCTCTCCACCTCCACGGATAGATGGTAACACTCTGGATAAAGTCTTCTGGAAAACCTGTTTATATTCTAGGCACATGTTTTGGAATTCCGTTATCCTGCTCCCTATCTCTGGAAATGGACTGTCCCTCATCATATCATTACATCTCATCACCGTCTCATTGAGCTGTTCCAGCACAGACTGGCAATGACTGACCAATCCAATACTTATGTCCCGTACCAGCTGAGCAGCTTTGGATTCCAGTTTGTAGAGTGGGTAGAGCCAGACTATCATGGGCACTGCATGGTCTCCATCCACTCCCAGTAACTTTCGGAGGGTTGTGTAGATTCTGAAGGCATCTTGGAAAGTGGTGGGGTTGTTTTCCAGGAGGAAATCTCCATAAAAAGTGCATTGGAATTTTTGGGCTTTGGACTGTTGTTCCTCTGTCATTTTAAGGGAGATCTCCCCTTTACTTGCAATCCTGGGAATCACTTTAATCATTCCCTCCAGGTGACCCTGAATGTCCTGTAGATTCTCTCCTGAAGAGACCTCTTGATCAAACACAAAGAAAGCCTGAGCCCCGTACAGCACTGCTGTAACTACGTGAGTTGCTGTCCCCTCATCAAACACAGTCGGGTGGGTTATATTCTGTCGCCCCAAGTGGCTCATTGTCAGCTGCTCAAACCTGGTTGTTGTTCGGTACTGAAGGGTCACTCGGGCCTGTTGCCTCAATCTCTTTGTGTCAGTCAGATATTTGGCTGATCCATCCAATGTTATCGATTCAGTGAAAATACTTGCTTTCAACGATCCATCAACACTCAGGGCTGATGTCTTTTCCTGAATCGAGTCCAATGTGTAGATCTTAAACTGAGTTTCATGTTTCGACCATACCCTAACATTCTGTTGAAGAGTCTCCAAGTCCCAGAGGGTAACAGCTTAAAAAAATAATCAGTGAAAAACACAAGTGAAATAATTGCCATCACCAAACACCCTTTCTTCACAAGTGCATAGCCTTTGACAATAGCACTGCTGCTCAATGAGCCAGGCATTCAGGGTCCCAATATCTTTAACATTCATCCTTTTATGTCAGCCAGGGCTCCCTGATTGGACCAGGTTAACAGTCCCAGTCAGGGAACTCATATTCTATTCTGGCTCATTTACAATCACTACATCAGAATCAATCACTGTGTCTCCTATGGAATCTATACTATACTGAGATTAAAAATTAAAGTGTAACACCTACTGAATATATAGGGACAAACTTCCAGTCATGCTCACAAAACATCAAGATTTGTAAAGAGGAGGTCATGTCTAAAAGCATAATTGAATTCTTTGCAGAAGTAATGCAAGTAGGAGATGGGAATATCTGTGCATGTAGTTTATATGAATTCCCATATTGTCTTGATAGGGCTCCAATAAGTGACTGCCGGCTAAAGTTAAGGCTGTGGGATTGCCATTCAAGGTCTAGGCTCAGCATGGAGACTGGTTGGGGGTAGAAGAGTGAAGGAAGGGGCAATGGATGTGTACACAATTGGAGAGGAAGTGATTTGTGGGGCAGAATTTTAACTTGACAGATCACCAGACACACAGCAGAGAGCCTGATAACATTCAAGAACCCATTAGTTCTGCTGATATCCTTTTACCCGATTCTTGAGCTCAGCTATGAAAATATCTTTCCTACTGAAGGTTTCCTGATTAATTAAAGAGCCTGTACATGATGGTGACACTGCTGCTCAGTGTTTCCAACATATCTTTGGCCAGGTCACTGGGTGAGTGAGGATGTGTGTGATTTACACATTATTTTAGAAATATGCGCGGTGAGCATTAATTGGAAGCAAAGTATTAATGCAATAATGCTGAATAGATGCTGAATAGAACATACACCATATAAATTCATAGCACTCAGCCCCTCGAGCCTGCTCTGCCATTTAATAAGTAATAGTTGATCTGATTAGTGCATATTCTGACCTCCCCAAACAATGCTTCACCCTCTTGCTTGTCAAGAATTTATTACTTCTCCCTCAGAAATCTTAAAAAACGTTTTGAGGAAGAGAATTCCAAAGGCTCCCCTCCCTCTGTGATAAAATAAAGTTCTCTTCATTTCTATCTTAAATGTGCAACCCTTCATCTTTAAACAGTGAGCCCTGGTACTAAATTCTTCTACAACAGGAAACGTCCTCTCCACTTCCAACTCTGTCAAGAACCTAAGGATCTTGTGTGTTTTTAACAGTTCGTCACAGCTTGTTTCAAAGTACTTTGAAATACGATCACTGTTTATGTCTTTAAACATGGTGCCTGAATGTTAAAGTTGCGTTGAACAGACCATTGCCCTTGACCCTGAGAATGCGCAGGTACCTGGGATTAGAATGTCGGAACGGCAGTCATACAGCATTCCCAGCTGAAAGGGTCGGCCCAGAGTAGGTATGTCCATATTCCCTCCGGCAGGTACAAACCCAGCAAAACTAAACTCTCCTGTAATAAAAAAAACCACAGGCAGCTGCATTCAAGGAGAATGTGTTCATGAAGTCCATTGATCTATCTTCATATGTACTGAGCCAAACACAAGACATGATTTAGCTACATGAATTTGTAATTTATGCAGCATTTTAAAGTAAAATCCCTACAGTGTGGAAGCAGGCCATCTGGTTTGCACCAACCCTCCAAATAGCAGCCCACCCAGAGCCACATCCCTACCATATAACCCCAATTTCCATGGCTAATCCACCTAAACTGCACATCTTTGGAGTGTGAGAAGAAACCCAGAGTACCTGAAGGAAACCCACAAAAACAGGGAACATTTGCACATTCCACACAGATAGTCACGTGAGCGTGGAATTAAACCCAGGTCCCTGGCGCTGTGAGGCAGCTGTGCTAAACACTGAGCCATGATACCGCCCAATGAAATGGATGTCCGATAGCCCTTTACAGACAAAACCAGAGATTATAGCAGTGGCTGAAAACTTAGTCAAACAGATGGGTTTCAAGGACCATGTCAAAATTGGAAAAGGAGGGGAAAGACCAAGAAACCAAGTCAGTGAAACAGAGTTCAGTTGGGTTTTGGCAGATTATAGAGCTGTACTGGGTTAGAGAGACTGGGGAGGGACAGTGAGCAAGTGTGTAACGCAGGATACAGGCAGCACAGTGGGACAGCTTTGAGCTGACAATTAGTGAATGGAAGGTGGGAGGGTGATGGATACCATTGGAGTAGGTGAACGTAGAGGATGCTGGAGAGATGACAATTTCAGCAGCAAATTGGCTGAGGCAGAAAAGAAAGAGGTCAACTGTTATGGAATGTAGGTGACATTTGTGACAGAGAAAAGCTGAAGTCACCATAGCCCTACCAGACATAGGGCTGCTCTCCCATCAGAGAGAGACAACTGGTGGCATTTAAATTGAGAGTCACCGTGCCTCAGGTGAGGGGAGAGGTTGAGAAGAAGAGTCCTTCATAGTAAATGCAGCCAGTGCAGGAATTGAATCCACAATGTGGGTACCATTCTATATTGCAAGCCAGCCATCCAGTCAACTAAGCCTACCAGATGGAGAAGTAAGCAATAGAACGGCCTGTTTCAACTTGCGATATGAAGACAGGACAGAGAGTTTGCAACAAAGGTTTAGTCTTTGTAAAGGAACCAAAGATAATTGGATTGTTCTTTTGAATGTTATTTTCTGGAAGATTTCATGCCCTTTCAAGACTGTATGTTGGATAAACAGTCTCTTAAACAAGGACACTGAGATCCTGCCAGCCAGAATGGGACTTAAACACGAGAATTTCTATTTTGTTTATTCTTTCATGGAATATGGGCATCAGTGACTGGGCCAGCCTTTTATTGCCCTTGAGAAGGCAGTGGTGAGCTGCCTTGCTGAACTGCTGCAGTTCACATGCTGTGGGTTGTCCAACATTTGGGAAGGAATCCCAGGATGTTGATCCAGCAAAAGACAGAGAGAGAGAGAGAGAGAGAGAGACAGAGAATGATGATATATTTCCAAGTCAACATGGCATGTGACTTGAAGAGGAATTTCTGGATAGCAGTATTCCTATTTATATACTGCCCTTGCCCATTTAGTTGGTGGAGGTTGTGGGATTTAAAATGAGGGATTTAAAGATGCTGTCAAAGGAGCCTCGGTCAGTTGCTCCAGTTCAAGTTGACTATGGTACATTATTTCTATCAGTGTGCATCAATGATGGTGGGAGTGAATGTTTAAAGTAGTGGATAAGGTGGTAAACAACCAGGCTAATTTGTCTTGGTAGGGGTCAAACATCTTCAGTGTTATGAGATAACAAGGTGCAGACATGGATGAACACAGCAGGCCAAGCAGCATCAGAGGAGCAGGAAGGCTGAAGTTTCAGGCCTAGACCCTTCAAAATCTCCCCTCCCCCTACCGCATCCCAAAACCAGCCCCACTCGTCCCCGCCTCCCTAACCTGTCCTTCCTCCCACCTATCCCCTCCTCCCACCCCAAATCCCACCCCCATCTCCTACTCACTAACCTCATCCCACCCCCTTGACCTGTCCGTCCTCCCTGGACTGACCTATCCCCTCCCTACCTCCCCACCTACACTCACCTCTACTGGCTCCATCCCCACCTCTTTGCTCTGTCTGTCTCCTCTCCACCTATCTTCTCCTCTATCCATCTTCTATCCGCCTCCCCCTCTCTCCCTATTTATTTCAGAACCCTCTTCCCCTCCCCCATTTCTGAAGAAGGGTCTAGGCCCGAAATGTCAGCCTTCCTGCTCCTCTGATGCTGCTTGGCCTGCTGTGTTCATCCAGCTCTACACCTTGTTATCTCAGATTCTCCAGCATCTGCAGCTCCTGCTATCTTCAGTGCTTTTGTTGCCATACCTGTCCCGGCAAGTGCAGAGTATTCCATCACATTGCTGACTTGTGTCCACGCATTAGAATTCCCAGCCTCTGACTAGGACTTTGAGCCACACCATTTATCTGGCTGGCTCAGTTCAGATTCTGGTAAATGGTAACCCCAAGGATGCTCATGGCTGGGGATTCAGGGGTGTAGTGCTATTGATTTTCAATGTGAAAGGGCTAGATTCTCTCCTGTTAGAGATGGTCATTGCCTGGAATCTGTGTGTTGCAGAAGTTACTTGTATCTCACCCGCCCAAGCCTGAATGAAATAGTCTGTGTCAATATCTGAGGAATTGCAAATGGTACTGAACACTGTTCAATAATGTCACATTTTATACACCATCTGCCATCTTCTTGTCCAACCGCTTAACCTGCATATATCACTTCCAACTTTCTTTCGTGTCTTCTCAACAACTTAAATTCCAGCCTAACTTTGTATAGATTACATGTGGAGCCTTCAATCCACTCATTAATACCGATTGTAAATGACTGACATGTTAGTGTGAATCCCTGCTGCACTCTGTTAGCACCATCCACAAAACCTGAAACTGACCACAGGGGTGGCACGGTGGCTCAGTGCTTAGCATTGCTGCCTCACAGCACCAGGGACCTAGGCTCGATTCCAGCCTCAGGTGACTGTCTGTGTGGAGTTTGCACATTTTTCCCATGTCTGCGTGGGTTTGCTCCAGTTTCCTCCCACAGTCCAAAGATGTGCAGGTTAGGTGGATTGGCCATGCTAAATTGCCTGTAGTGTTCAGGGATGTGTAGATTAGGTGGGTTATAGGGAAATGGGTCTGGGTGGGATGCTCCAAGTGCCAGTGTGGACTTTTTGGGCCAAAGGGCCGGTTTCCACACTGTAGGGATTCTATGATTCTATTTCTTCTCACTGTTTTTTGCTCATTAACACATCCTCAATTCCACAAGTCCTTATCTTGTGCAACAATCTTTTTGTTTGGCACTTGATTGAATGCCTTCTGAACATGCAGATAGATTACATCCATGGCTCACCAATGGGCCGAGGAGTGGAAGATGGAGTTTAATTTAGATAAATGCGAGATGCTACATTTTGGAAAGGCAATTCAGGGCAGAACTTATACACTTAATGGTAAAGTCCTGGGGAGTGTTGCTGAACAAAGAGACCTTCCAGTGTAGGTTCATAGTTCCTTGAAAGTGGAATCGCAGGTAGACAGGATAGTGAAGAAGGTGTTTGGTATGCTTGTCTTTATTGGTCAGTGCATTGAGTATAGGAGCTGGGGAATCTTGTTGTGGCTGTACAGGACACTGGTTAGACCACTATTGGAACACTATGTGCAATTCTTGTCTCCCTGCTATAGGAAAGATGTTGTAAAACTTGAAAGATTCAGAAAAGACTTACAAGGATGTTACAAAAACCGAAGTTGCTGGAAAAACCCAGCAGGTCTGGCAGCATCTGTGAAGGAAAAAACAGAGTTAACGTTTCAGGTCCGGTGACCCTTCCTCAGAACTCATTTTGGGTCACCGGCCCCGAAATGTGGTTGGCATGGACAGGTTGGACCAAAGGGTCTGTTTCCATTTTGTATATCTCTATGACTACCACAGCAACACCGGACCTCAGACTGAGAGAGTGGACAAACACATGGCAGAAACAGTATAACGTAAAAAAAAGGAACAAAAACAGAAGTTGCTGGAAAAGCTCAGCAGGTCTGGCAGCATCTGTGAAGAAAAAAATCAGAGTTCACATTTCGGGCCCGGTGACCCAAAATGAGTTCTGAGGAAGGGTCACCGGACCTGAAACGTTAACTCTGTTTTTCCCTTAACAGATGCTGCCAGACCTGCTGAGTTTTTCCAGCAATTTTGTTTTTGTTCCTGATTTACAGCATCCACACTTCTTTCAGTTTTTACAAGGATGTTGCCAGGGTTGGAGGGTTTGTGCTATAGCTGGGGCTATTTTCCCTGGAGCATCAGAGGCTGAGGAGTTACCTTACTGAGGTTTATAAAATCATAAGGGCATGGATAGGGTGATTAGCCAAGATCTTTTCCCCAGGATGGGGTGTCCAAAACTAGAGGGCGTAGGTTTAAGGTGAGAGGGGAAAGATTTAAAAGGGACCTTTGGGGCACCTTTTTCACACAGAGTGTTTCGCTTATATGGAATGAGCTGCCAGAGGAAGTGGTGGAGGCTGGTACAATCACAACATTTAAAAGACATCTGGATGGGTATATGAATAGAAAGGGTTTAGAGGGATATGGGCCAAATGCTGGCAAATGGGGCTAGATGATATCCTCAAAACACAAACAGATTTGCATAAAAGATTTCTTTTTCACAAAATCATATTGTCTCTGCATCATCTAAGTGTCCAGTTACTATATCCCTAATAGTAGATTCTCGTCTTTTCCCTACTATCAATAGGTAAGTTTGTGTTCTGAGATGTGTATTTCTTTCACTGTATGAGCTGTGTTGTGTGTTTGTTTGAGAATTGTGTATGAGCTTTACTTGTGTAAGCTTTATGTGTGAGAGAGAGCTATGTTTGTGTGAGAGAGAGAGCTGCATATGTGCAAGTTGTCTGTGTGACTTGTGCTGAAGAGTTTACTTGTGTGAGCTGCTCGTTTGGTAATTTTCCTGTGAGCGGTGGGATATGAGTTTGTGTAAGCTCTGTCTGTGTGTATGTGCATGGGTTCTTTTGAGATCTGTGTCAGTGTTTGTGTGAGCTCCTCTGTATGCATTTGGTGAAATTTCAGTGTGCATTTGTATGAACTGTATGTATGTTGGTATGAGCTAAGACTATATTTACGCATGTTGTGTATCCTTGAAAGTTCTGTTTTCATGCTTATGTGCATCTTACATGGTATATTTCTGTAAAAGCTCATTTAGCATCTATGCATGTATGTCCCTGTGACTGTTTTAGAGAATTGTCATTATGTATTTGATTGTATATGTATTTTAGGTGATTTTGTGTGTATTTGTGAGGATATTGTGTGTGTTCGTTTGGCATTTCTTTCTGTTTGTACGATTAACTTGTATGTTTGTGAGCAGATCCCAATGTAATTGTTTTTGTATATGTTTGTCTAGGTTTATGCATATAGTTCTGTGCAGAATTGTTTGTGTGCATACTTTTATATGTGCTTTCTATGTTTTTGATGATTGAAAGGTTGCAGCTAAAGGCTCAACTATTTCCACCCTAATTAGAGGTGATGGTGGAATGGTGCAACTGGACAATAATCCACAGTCCCAGACTTAACATTTAGGATCAACTCCTAACACATTCTGAAGAAGAGTCATATTCATCTGGCAAGGTCAACTCTGACTGTCTCTGTCTCTCTCTCTCTCTGTCTCTAACCCTCTCTCTCCAGAAACACGTAGACAGATGTGCTGAGCACTTTATTTTTTTTATCCCAGCGTAGCAGCTGTAGAATTTGAATT